ATAGAACTGGAACATTATGTTGGATAATAGAAAGAGTTCATAAATTCCTGCAGTTATTTTTAATGAAAATTTAGGCAATTTCTATAGTTAGAAATTGCTAAAATAAACTATAATAAAGTGCAGTTGTGTTGACTGGTTAGCACACTGAACTAAAAAATAGAAACCATTTCTCTTTCAACATTTTTGTTATTGTTCCTTTTTAAATCCAAGGGAAATCCAAATCGTTGAATGCTTACTTTATAATTGAGTTATTTTGTGTTACCTGGAATAGAATAGTATCATGTGCTTTTCCATCCATGAATTATTTTTTGAAGCATGTGTAATTGAGAAGTAGGGGAGAGAGAAGCTGATTCCGTTGTATAACACTGTATACTATTAGAACTGAGCATTACAAAACAAAGCTTGTTATGTAGACATATACAAATAGCACTTTAAGAGTAGTAATCATTATGTGTTCGCTTGTAATATTTGGAATTCCGGAAGTAAATTGTTGGCATCATTCTTTCATCTCTCATTGTATATCGATATATCATCTTCTTTCATCTCTCTACTATAGAGATACATAATCCTAGGAGACATTGTCCAGATAGGCTAGTATCAAAACAAATTTGGGATCCAGCCAATATCTGAACAATTAGCTAGAAGTGTTCTTCAATTCAACATTTTATTTGCCAAAAATGAGAGTTGAAGGATGGGAAACATTTATTTAATTTGTTTCAAGTTTCCTGGTTCAGATTTTTTTCTTTTTTAGATATTCAACAGTGATCTCTTTGATACTTCTTTATGTCAAAGCACTGTTTTTTAAATTAAGTATTCTCTGACAGACATAATGAGTTTGTATCTGCTGGTGAGAAGATCCAGAAGAAATTGTTTTCCAGACTTGGATACATCCAGTTTCATTATCCCAAAGTATAGCCTATCTATGAATCAAGATGGTCTGTTGAAAAAATCTACTACTAGAAGACCTTTGTCTGAAAATTCATGAAGTATATGAGCTTTTTAATGAAAAAGCTTTCAAAGTCCCATCACCTTTTCCTTCAAGTTATATTTTTCCCAAGGGATTTTCAGCACTCTCTATACCAGGGGTCTTCAAAATTGGCCCTTTTATGACTTGTGAACTTCAACTCCCAGAATTCCTCAGCCAGTGTGCCTATACCAAAGATCCAGTATTGAAAGAATGTTATGCAGATACTTTCTATAACAAATCTTGCTTCAGACATTATTGAAATATGCTATCTGTCATGTGTCTGATTAATGAAACACTTAAAAGGACTTTCAGGCATATTTTTTCCTAAAAGCATTTATTAAGGTTANGTTGACACTATCAATGTCCACCACATGCATTCCATTAAGATTCAGATTCAATATGTTGAACATGTGGGAAAATAAGAGCACTTTAAAAATACATTTTATTTCAGCATATTTTTTCTTTTTCCTTCATTAAAAAGTTATCAGTGTTCAGTGGACTTGAAAAAAATTAAGAAATCTTGTTCCTAAAATACTGATTTAACATGTTTTAAATATACTAGTATGACAATGTAACATGTTTAATGCTGATGTGTAGGCATTTATTTTGCATCTCCCTTGAAATTATTTTATATACTGTTCTTTGATGCTGCCTGAAAGAGCAGGGAGATAACTTACATGCAAGTTTATTTACATAGTAGGTAAGAATGAAGGAACCTATATGTCAGTTCCCTTATATGTCAGTTCCCTCATTCCTTTTCCTTGAACTATTAGGAATTTGTTTGATTGCTTCATTGAGAGATTGAAATCTTTGGATTAACTGGATTGCTATATATGGAAAAGTGAGGATAATTTGGAATGTTTCCAGACTTTATGAGTTGTAAAAGAGGCCCTTTGGAAGATGATGCCCATCCCCACAGTGCCAGAGGTGTTCCTGGTTACTGTGTCAGGCATTTAATTTGGCCCTCATTTTCCCTACCTTTTAAAAACTAGCTGAGATGTAAGTCTTTACCTGGCCTTTTAAATGCAGAAGATTTAGTAATTGTATTAATTGCCTTTTGCTTTTATATTTTATATTTATAATATAAATTACTCTTATTTTTACTTCTATAGTTTTTTTCTTATATTTTACCTTTTTAGACATCTTCAGTGTTTCATTTGAAGTACTTTAAACATATATTAGCTCTCTAATAGAATAGTTTTTCTTAAAAAAAACTTGACAGGATGAGACTTTGAAGGTTGGACACTAGAGGGAACCAGAAAGAACTAAAGATTACAATTAAAGGAAAAGAAAACTTAAATTTGACTTACTAATACAGAATGGAGCAAAATATTTTTACAGTTGACGCATTGAAAGTTATTTGTGAACAATGGACCCAGGAGTTAAAAGTGTCTGCCATTATAGATACCGGTAGGTGTATCTAAGAAATGATATGGAAGAGGAACAAATTTTACCAGACAAGACTGAGACTAATTTGAAAGTGGATTTTAAAAGGACAAGTTACAAGAATGATATGGGAAAAGATGCTACATTGGATATACAAATGAAATCAGCTGATGTCTTAATAGGGACATACAAATAACAAACCAAAAGAGTGACCTGAATAACTTTCATGTAATGGATTTACAAAAGAGACTAGTTAAAGTTTAGAAGGATTTTGTGAGAAGGACAAACTAAAAATGAAAAAAAAACAACCTTCTAGGACAGTACAGATTGTCCCCTCGACTTACAACCTTTCATTTAATGACTGTTCGAAGTTACAGTGGCACTTTAAAAAGTGACTTATGACCGTTTTTTACACTTACGACCATTGCAGGATCTCTGTGGTCACTTGATCAAAATTCGGACATTTGGCAACTGGCATATATTTCTGATGGCTGCAGTGTCCCGGGTGATGTCATCACCTTTTGCAACCTTCCGACGACAGGCAAAATCAATGGGGTAGTGATTCACTTAATAACTGTGGCAAGAAAGGTCGTAAAACGGGGCAAAAATTCACTTAACAAATATTTTGCTTAGCAACAGAGATTTTGGGCTCAATTGTGCTTATAAGTTGAGGACTGCCTGTATTTAAAGGGTTTAAAGATCAATTGTTGAAAGTGCTGTAAAAGGAAGGGATACAAAAACTTATTTAATTTGATCAAGGTTAAAATAGATATATTGTTATTTTTGGTAATTCTTAATGGACTTTTACTAACTAGGATTGAATGACCAAGCTTTTGTTGGGAAACTACCAGCTAGGCTGGAAGGAGGGGTCAACGAGGGCCTAGCTTGCAGTCATTGCGCAGGTGCAAGTGGCATAAGCTTGACCCTTCCTTCCAGCCTAGTTGGAAGTTTCCCAACAGCTTTAAAGATTTGCTTATAGATAAGAGAATCACTTGTTGTATTTTAAGAGAAGGTAATAAATTAGTAAAATTGTTTATACTTGTGATTAAAGGGGAAGCCATTGCTTTATATGTTTCTTATCTTTTTATTGATTATATTCTTATTTTTCTTTCCATTTTATTTTTCTATTTTTTTCTTTTTTTCTTACATTCTTTTTTCTTTTTTCTTTTTAAAATTTGTATTAATTCTTTTTAATTGTAATGTTTAATAAAATTATTATAAAAAAGAACATGTGAATTGAATGATTGAGTCAATATGCACAAATGTGTGTTTCACGCATGGGTTTATATTCTCCTGTCATTCTGCTCCTTACTAGTTACTTACCATAAACAGAGGAAACATAATTTTAATTTTGTGTTGCCTCTGTTCTTTTGGTATATAAAACTTTATGTTTATATATTATTTTTTATTTCAAACATGGTTTGCATTCTCCTCCAAGCAATAAAATAACAAGCTAAAGCTTGAGTGGTCTCACTACTGTAAGGATAAAACCTAAAATCCATTTTGTACCTTCTTCAAAAAGATATATCAGGTCTCCCTTTGGCCAGTCAGTCTTTCTATTGTCTGTGAGTATATTAAACATATTTTTAAATAAAGAAATCTACATTACACATTTGTTTTGGGCATCTTTCTCATTCAAAAACTAACTTAAATGCAGAGAAGGAATCAGACTTAGATTCCAAATTCTTTGATGTATCAGAACAATCCTTTTTGAAAAGATGAATACACAAAATGAAACAGCACCTGTTCTGCACTGTTTTACTTTAAACCTGTTTTTTAAGGTGCTTTGTGCAGCAAATAATTAAACTGCCATCCTAAGTTCTTATTTTGCTAGCATATATTCTGTCTTTTAAACAGATGCTTCTGTAATACCACATAGTGGCTCATTTTCTCTATATGGGTAACTTTAGGAAATATTTTCAGCATGAAGTGAAATATTCTGAAATAAAAGACTTTTAGGATTGATCCCTAAGAAGTATAATCACAAGCTTGGAGCAAAGGAAATTACTTGTTCAGATACTGAGTGCTGGGCAGCACAGTACATGTGCTATTTCGTTTTGCTGTATTCATCTTTTGAAAAAGAGATGTTGCGATACATCATCAGAGAATTTGGAACCTAAGTCTGATTCCTTCTCTGTCCTTAAGTGAGTAGGATTCTAAAAGCCTTTAACTTGAAACCTTTTTTTGAACATTTGTTTCTTCTGCTAAATGTGCTTTTCCACTAAACATGCTAAAGAAAAGTATGTGGATGGTTTCTAGGAGACAAGACATATTGCTGCTGAACAGTGGCTGAGAAAGAGGGAGAATGCATCACTTCTAAGCCACAGAGGCTAGTGACTCTCTCCCAGTCCTAAACTGGGAAATCAGAAAACATATCCATCATTGGACCAATGTGGTAGATTATAGCTGAGTCCTTCATTCTGCAGTGTTTTGATTCAGGCTAATTTTATTGATCCTTATCCCCCCAATTTTATTGACCACCATCTGTCCCTTGTTGACAGAATATATGTCTTCCTTCCTTCCTTCCTTCCTTCCTTCCTTCCTTCCTTCCTTCCTTCCTTCCTTCCTTCCTTCCTTCCTTCCTTCCTTCCTTCCTTCCTTCCTTCCTTCCTTCCTTTAATGCTGTTTGCCTTTTTTTTCCCTCCAGGGTAACCAGGAGCCAACAGCTACTCCTGACACAATGGTCCAGCCATTCACCACAATCCCATTCCCACCTCCCCCACAGAATGGGATCCCCACAGAGTATGGTGTTCCCCACACTCAGGACTATGCAGGCCAGACCAGTGAGCACAATCTGACAATCTATGGAAGTGGACAAACGCATGGAGAACAGAATACGAATACAGCTACCACGCAGAATGGATCTCTTACGGTATGTTCAGCAAGATTTAAAGCTGAGAATTTATTTGATTGCTTATCTGACATTTATATATTTAAAATGGTATAGGTAAGTATTATGCATCCAAAGTTAGCTTTCTTGGGCAAAAGCTAAAACAAAAGAAAAAGAATTCCCAATTACTGCAAAAAGAAATGGAACAGTCAGATTCATCTGAATGAAGTTGTTTATTATTAAAACAGGTTGGTAGGGAAGTAACTTATGATGCTATGGATATCTAACCATATTTTCTTCATTTTGTGTTTTTAGTGTGCTCTTGGACCGTGCTATGTTAAGTGTTTCCTTCTGTGTGACTCAGGTTATTTTTTTACTTTCTCTGATTTAACTAACTTGCATCAGGCAGAATTTGAGTTGCCTCAGACAACTTGAAATCTTGTCCTTTCAAGATTTGTTTATGTCATGGGCTGTTGATCCACAGTCATCTAAGATGTATTATTCATATATAGAGATATTGGTTCATAACCGTCTTACATTGAATGTTGGGTTCTCAAAAAGAATAGAATCAAGGAGTAGAAGTGGTCACCCAATCTAACCCGTTGTTCAGTATAGGACCTGCTAGAGTATCTTTGATGGATGACCATTTAGTCTGTTTTAAGACTTCTAGAAATGTAAACTCATCACATCCTGTGATAGCCTATTCTGCTAACTAACAGCTCATATAGGCAATAAATCTCTTAACATGTACCCTGAATGTCCTTCCTTGTAGTTTAATCCATTACTTCTGGTCCTTCAATGGAACAGGGGATAGCTTGAGGAGAGGGTTGGACTAGAACAGGGGTAGGCAACCTCGGCTCTTTTATGACTCATGGACTTCAACTCCCAGAACTGACTCAGGAATTCTGGGAGTCCATGAGTCATAAAAGAGCCAAGGTTGCCTACTCCTGGACTAGAAGACATCCAAAATCCCTTTCAACTCTATTATTCTGTTAATAGAAAATGTCCACTCCTCCATCTGTGTAATAACCTATATAATATAGTTGGGTCTTTTTCTTTATGTTTAAATCTGTAATCCGCCCAGAGTTGCTACAGTATCAGGCATAACAGTAATATCTAGCTCATTTTTTACCATATCACGAAGCACTTAGTCAAAGACTTTACTGAGTTCCAAGTACACTTTGTCTGTGGCATTGCTCTGATCTACTAAGTTAATTATTCTATCAAGAAAGAATGTAAGGTTAGCCTAGCATGATTTGTGTCCAATAAATCCATGCTGGATCATGTTAGTGGTAGCATGCCTCCACAATAGTTTACAATCATACTACTTGAAGACTGCCCAGTATAAATGCTAAAATGACACATCTAATCGTTTCCCAGGTATTCCTTAAGATGGGGATGACTATTCTTTCAGGAATTCTCAGAGATTACGAAGAGTGATTCTATGATCACCTGCACTTGTTCTTTCAGTAGGGAAGTAATCCATCTGGCTCTTGAGAGATAAATTCATTTAAATTAGTTTCTCTTATAGTCTCCTTAAATATTGTAAGCTGCAATTTTCTTCTCCCACTGGTATAATCATGATGCAGCTAAGGCTCCATTTTCCGCCTGAGAGAAGACAAACTCAAAATAGAAATTAAAAAGGTCCCATCATCCAATACTGCTTTACTGCTTTCTCTTGTCACATGGATAGCAGTCTCTCTTGCTGTCCTTTTATCTTTATCATACAAGAATAGCTTTTTTGTTATTTTTTTTCATCTCTTAACAACCCTCAATATATTCTGAGCTTTAGCTTTTTTGACAGAATTCCTGCAGTTTCTGGAAATAACCTGTATTCTTTGATTATGTCCCCCCCCTTTCCCTTTTGTATAAATGTTCTCTTTAGTATTTTAATTCTGCACTAAGATTCTCCTATTTTTTCAACTTTTATGGAGTGTTTGCATCTTCTGTATTTTCTTTCATAAAATTTCTTAGCTTCCTGGATACTTTTTTCCTTCATGATTTCCAACGGTTGGATCCATTATGCAAATGTTTGACTTCCTCCTTCTCTGGATCTCACTGATGGACAAGCACAGATTAGAACAATATCTTTATTGTATTCCAGGAAGTGGTAGCTTTATAAGATAGCTGGCAGTTTTCGTGCAAGTTCAGGAGAGCTAGCTGATCTGAATTCTGAGCAAATTTAGAAATTGTAGCCAATCAGATCTAAAACCTTTTCATGCTTTTTCGCATCACAACCCATTCAGAAGGAGAAGACTTGTCTTTTCTCTTATTTTTAGCCCACATAGTCTCTCTCAGTAACAAATCTTTGTTTACAGTCCCTGTAAAGATAATTTATCTTTTGACCAGGGCCTTCATCTTCCTCCTCCAGCATAGCTTATTTTGTAACTGTATGAATCTTTTTCTCTTTAAAATTATAAGAATATTTTTTCTGCTTTAGTTTTCAAAGTATCTCTTTGTTCCTGTAGTTTCTCAGGTTCTCATATACTGAATCTGTTCCTTACACTGATTTTACATTCTGATTGTTTTCAAATCAGTTCTTTCTGGCACTCCTCCTGTTTAATTTTCTAATTTTAACTCATATATTTGACTTCAATAATTCATGGTTTTATTCCAGAATTGCAGTAGAAGCATTGTGGCTGACCAAATTGCACTTCTCCGCCTTTTGGTTTCTGTTATCTAGCCCTTGTGATTCTAATGGCTGTTTTTAAAGTATGTATTTTTTTGTTTGAAGAAGGTATTAACAATAAAGATTTTTTTACATAAAAGTCTGCTAACATATTTCTTGGATTGTCATGCTCACCCAATCCAAATCATGCTGCAGTTCCTCCATGTCTCCAATTTTCTCATTCCGAGTATACATCAGTATTATTGCACCCTTTTTATTTGTTGCATTGTGCACTTCTTGCAATTCTCATGGAATTATCAGCCCTCTCCTCAGCCCAAACATTAGAGAACACCAGGTCTTTTGGTTCATTGTCATATTCTTATTAGGATTATTCATTATGGCATCTCCAGCTTCAAGTCTTATCTAAGTTCTATTTGAGCCCCTGCACTCACCATCCTTAAGAGTATGTAATTGGGAAATTGACATTCCTGATAGCTGTAACATCATCTAGAAAAATGTGAGAAGGCTTTTGTCCAAGATCTGCATCATCCAACCAGATATCTTTGCATAGCCTGTAGATCCATTTTATTTTAAACAAATGAACACAGAATTCCGAAATAGACATCAGGCAGATTGTCAAGATCTGCTTGAGTAGAACATGTATTCAGAGCCTCCAATAGCATTTTTATATCCTTCCAACAGCTTAAGCTATGGTGCAACTCTAGGTTAACCATCACAGTCAAAATGTAAGGCATGTATCAAACTAGCATACAAAACTAGCATACAAAACTGCCCCTCAATGAACAGTGTGCGTCCTACTAGGAACCCAGGAACCTTGGCTACTTCTGACACTTAACACTCCTGAGGGACAGTTGTAGGGTTGCCATGTGGACCTCCATCAGGCATTACAGGTTTGACTTATGTGTCTGGCTAAATTGTCTTTTGGTAAGAAAGTTCTACAGAATTCATCTACAACAAGAATTAGGACCTGCTTGTTAAAAGATCACATATCCAGGGGTAGCTCTGATATGTTCCACTCATAGATGCCCTTGCTCTGTTGTACAAAAAAGACATACACAGCAAGTCCAATATATCCTTCCCCTGTAACTGAAATAGGGACTTCTAACCTGGCACCCAAATTTGTCTATGTGGTTTTCTTATCAGCAATACAGAAGTGGCTTGGCATTGCCTTTTTCTAGGCTTAATTTTTAGCTAACCTCTCATAAGTGGATTGGCTTTCCTTATGCTTATAGAAATACACCTTCCCTCATCCCCATTGTGAATTATCCTTAGCTTTACTTCTCCCATTTTGACTTTAAAATTGGTGATCCTATCAGAAGCTTATGCTGCCATCAGCATCACTTTCAGAATCATTCAAGCTACTCTGTCGTCCTACCACATCTGGGTGCTGATTCTCTGGAATATATAACCAGATGGATACAGTTCTGTACAGATAAACCTGGATTTTAAAACATATTTTTCTCTGAAGATTGAGTTGCAGGGGATCCAATTAAGGATATGTTCTTCTTTGTTGACATTGTCTTACAATCTCAAATTGGGCAACATGCTGACAGATTATCAAACTGAAAGCTTTATCAATCTGTTAAGCTGTTGTTAGCTCTTAACTTGCTAATAAAGAACATTATAGTAGGTGCACATGGTGGATTTAATCTTTTAATGCTTTCAGGGTTTTTTTTTTGTATTGAGGCTAGCTAATGATACTTTTAATTTTAATCTTTAGCATCATGCAGTTTTTGTCAGTAATAAACAGCTGGCTTCATGAGTTAGGAGAACTTTTAAAAAACATGATAGCAAGTAAAAATACGTGACTGACATTCAGAAACAGGACAGTCATAAAATGATAAAAAAAACAGTGGATCAGCTCATATAATCCAATGTTTGAGCTCAGAATCAAAAGCTAAATATAGTAATAGCAGAGCAAAGTGTCATTGGTAGGTATAACAAGTCCTTTGAAATAATACGCAAAACAGTAATATCAATTCCATGAACATAGTTTACGTTTTTTTGGCATGGGAATACATGAGATCTGTCGCTCAATAGTAAAAGAGACATATCCTAGAAATGAAGCTGGATCTTTTCTATGGCAGTGCTACGCTGCATATATGTATATTTTTAAGTTGGTTTCATCTTCATCCAGGCTTGTTTTATTTAACAAAATCAGGACAGGATGAATAATATGAGCCTTGACCTTAGTTACCAGCTGCTGCCAAGCCTCACTTTCTTCTTCCATATTAGGAGATATCTTCAAGTATACTTCAAAAAAGAGCACTGTTTTTCATCAGTTAATAGGACTGTAATGTGAAAAGGAGCTTCATATGTCACTTATAGACTGAGTTAGAGGATTGCCTGTTTATTGCCCAGCTTACATATTGGAAATAAATTGGAAGTCAATTTGTTACATACCCGTAAAGAT